TAGTATGCCATTTGGAGCTCCTTGTCGCCTGACTCTGCAGAATGGCTGGACACTGCCCACTCTGTCAGCCTCCCTCTTTCTATTCAACAGCTCCCTCCCTCAGTTCCTCTGCTACTACTGCTGCTGCTACTGTTGCTATTGCTGAGAATTCTGCAGTTTCATTCTCACCTCTCTCCACAAGCCTGGGCCCTGTCTTCTCCCCTGATGTTATAGCAGGTAGCTTTTTCTAAGTCACTGACAAAAGAATAAGACCAGGACTCCTCCAATTTCTCTCCTAGCTGGAAACTTACTGACATCTCTCCTCCTCCTTTTCTGAATCAGTGCCAGAGTCTCCCCGAGGCTTACTCAAGGCTCATCCCTCCAGCTGTCCTAGTCATCTCCCTGCCACCTGCCTGGGGCCATCTGGCCGTCAGCCAGGCCCATGGCTTCTGTTCTTCCATCCTATCCAAGGTCTTTCATTGGGTTCAAAAACAATTGTATAACAACATTTTCAAGCAAAAATTTTAAAAATATTTATGGATCATTTATATTCTCTAATACAGTACAAAGATGGTTTTTGAATTTCAGCTTTCCAGTTACTATCAAGAAGGTACTGGACAAATGCTTTACTTTTCTTAAACTTCAGTCTTGTCTGCATAAAAAGGGTATTCAAACACCTTCTGTATGATTATTTTTAAAGGGTTTAATACTATAAATGAAGAATATTGTAACAATAAGAGTTTGACATACTAGGTAAAATATTTTGATCAATATATTAGATATGCATATGTTCAATGTTTTCATGTAAACATTTATCTAATCTCTTTAAATTTCATTAGACTTTTATGTTTTGAATGTTTACAACATGTTTAGAAACTATAGTGAGTACCCCAACCAAAAATATAACAAGAATTACTTAATTCAGGCTGCGGAGATAGCTCAGCAGTCTAATCATCTGCCTAGGCAAGTGCAAGGATCCAGGTTCGATCCCCAGTACCACATGTCATGCTGGCCCATGGAGCCGGTCACCAAGACCAGGCATGGTGGCACATGCTTGTAATACCAGTGCTGAGGAAGCTGGAAACAGGAGGATCACTATGAGTCCAAGCTATGTAGTAGGACCATATGCCAAATATATAATTTTTTTTAAAAATTACTTAATTTGAGGGCCAGCCAAATAGCTCAGCGGATTAAAGCACCTGCAAGCAGGCACAGGAGCCGGGTGTTTGATGCCCAGGCCTGCCCTGCTGACCGCCCCCCCCAGGCTGCACTGAGACTGTAATTGAGGCCGGACATGGTGGCCCACACCTATAATCTCAGCACTTCAGAGGCTGTAAACAGGAGAATCGCTATGAGTCTAATCTAGTAGTGAGACCCTGAATAGTAGAATACCCTGTAGACCCTTCCCTAAAATACAAAAAAAAAAAAAAAATTACTTAATTCTAGATTTCATGGTGAGAAAAATCCAATATGTCCATGAGATGGAAATTACTGGCTTAAAAGCAAATGATCAAGAGAATAAATTCTGAAACAAAATAAAACACAAAAAGACACAGCCCCAGTGACCTAATGACTTCTTGCTAGACCCACCTCTTAAAAGTTCTACTATCTCCTAGTACATATCGCCATCCTGGGGAACCCATGGAAATATGGAGGACACTTACCATCCAACTGGTTGTATTCTCTCCCTTCATCAATGGTTTCTAATATTTTTGCTCCAAACTACCATCAGATCACACAGATCTAAGTGTAAATCCTAGATCTTTCCTTTACTACCTACATGAACTTGGCCGAATCATTCGGCCTCATTAAAATTCAATTTCCTCACCTAAGAAATCAGGACAATAGCAAAGCCTGTCTTATAGTTGTTGAAAAGATGAAACAGCAGTGAATACCCAATGACTCCAGGGTTTCTAGCTTGTGGTGCCTAACAGAAAGGAGAGATAGGACCATGTAGATTTGGAGGGAGGCCTGGAAGAGAACATGCTCATCTGATGAGTATGAAGTGCCCACTGTTGGAAGAGTTGATCATCCATGGGTCTTAGGCACTTTTGCACATTTTGCTGTGTGCACCAAGAATGCATTTTGGGCCTCTTTTTACTGCATCTCTTTTTAGGGTTTTTTATGCCTGCAGCAAGTGACCTATTGTCCCTCTAGAACAAAGAGCAGGCTTGTTTACTGCATCCCACATAAGCAGATTTCCCAAGATCAGTGATTCCCAGCTATGACACAAACCAGCTGCATGTGGAGCATCCATCTGGGCCCACCACAATGCCCCCGTGGAACCTGGAGGCAAGGAGAACTGATGCAAATATGCTGATGCTCACGCTAAATGCTGTACCCTCAGCAAAGAAGTCCTAATGCTGGGGGCTCAAAGTGTCTTCCACCAATAAACATGAGTCAGTGACAGTTTAGCTTATTTGCTAATAAGCTAGACAGACAGGCTTGGAGACTGCCAGCATAGTGTGTGATGGCAAATAAAGCCATGAATAAAAATGGCATTGCTTAGAAAGAGGTCTGAGGCAGCACTCTGGGTAACATCAACCAGTAAAGTTCTACAGTAACTCAGGAAGGGACCTGGACCAGGGATTTAGCTCAATAGTAGTGCACTTGTCTAGCCTGTGTAAAGCCCCAAGTTCGATGCCCTACACTGCAAAAATAAGTAAATAAAGAAATGAGGAGAGTAGCTCCCTATAAGCCCAGGGAGTAGAGTTTCAATCAAAACAGTGTAGACAAAAGGATGCTGTTTAAAAGTCAACCAAGAAGACTGAAAGTGACCACTGAATTTAGCAACTAGGTCACTGGCAAGAGGCATTTCAGTGATGTAATGTGGCCAGAAGCCAAAACAAAGAGGAAGAGGAATGAATGGAAGAAGTGTGACAAAAATTTATTTCTAGAAATTTTAGTAGAAAGGGAAGGAGAGAGTTGTAGGGCACTGGTGACCAGAATGAGTAGGCACAAATTAAATTAAATTTCTCTCTCTCTCTCTCTCTCTCTCTCTCTCTCTCTCTCTCTCTCTCCCCTTCCTCCCTTCTCTCCTTCCCTGCTCCCCTCATGTTAGGGATACATCCCAGTACCTAACACACACTAGGCAAGTATTCTATCATTGAGCTATACCTCCAGCCCTGAAATTTGTCTCTTCAATAATTGGAAGACTTTTGAGTGATCATACACTGAGCACAAATCAGAAAAGGGAAAGGTTAGAGGAAAAGTTCAGAGCAAGGGCATGAGATGATTTCAGGTCTCTGAAGAAGACAAGACTGACATTAAGATCCTCAGGCGAGGAAATGGAATTTGTCATAATCATATCCTTTAAGCCATTCTACTAGCTTGTCATGTGGCCCGCCTCCGTCTCCAGTGCCCACCTTCTATAGGAAGGGGCCTAGTAACCATAGTTCCTTGATGGCTACCTTGCTGGGTGATCTTGTAGGTCACAGCTGAAAGACACAGAAATAGATCCCAAAGTAGTTTCTTTCCTTTTTTTTTTTTTTAAAGAAGAAACATACTTGTCTGTTTTTAAATCTTATTTATATATTTATATTGTGTGTGGCCAGTTCAGCCCACCAGAGGGCGGGGCTGGCTGGCATGTGGTGCTGGGGGATATGAACCACGGTCCCTGTGCTTTGCTTAGCTTAGCTTAGCTTGTTCTAAGTAGGTGCTTTAGACCACTGAGCCATCTCACCAGCCCAAAAGTAGCTTCTTTCAAGTGCCAAAAGATGGGTTCTGTACACAAAGCATGCAGGTAACTTTGGAAAGAACTCCTCTCCTGTAAATCAATTTGTAAGATTTAGTATTCTCTGCCAGCAGAAATGGACACTTAGAAGCACGTTGTCCAAAAAGCAGAGAAGCCTGCTGAGGAAGACACAGGAACTCATGCTCAAGAAAAAAACACCTACAGGAAAAATTTATTACCTACTTGCTGCCATTCCTGCACCGTGCAGCTGGAGCCAGGGAAGCCGCCCCCACTTGCCAGGTTGGCCTGTGATGGGGAAGGGCCTCAGTGCCTTAACCTTATCTATGGTAAGGCCCTGGGAGGTTTTCCAAGAACCTATGTAAGCTGGGCCTTGCAGAGGTGGTCAAGGAGAAAACAGCAGGAGTACCCACTGGACCTATCTGCAATCACCGCTGTTTGTTTGGACTGCCGTAGGTTCCCTCTTCAGTAATGGGGGTGAGAGGGTGAGAAGGCCAGAGTTCCTCGCATCTTTCTGGCGCAAATCCTTTGAGTCACTGATGGAAGCAACTGAACATAAGCAGGCATGCACACAACCCGCAGCCTTGCACACCAACCACCATCACTACCTATGCCTCCAAGTCAGCCAGCTCCCCAAGGAGCAAGCATCTGAAGAACCCTTTGCTAAGCCCCAAGGAGGGCTGTTGGTATGGTGGGAGGCCTCGGAGGCCTCAGAAGATTTGGGTCAGATCTTCAGCAGCGCTCACTTTCAGAAACCCGCCTCTGGCACTGAGAGGATAACCCCCTCCCCGCCCGCTTCAAACTTTCCCCATCTCGCCAGGCACACTGCACTGACATTTTTCCATCCCCTCCTGTGGACCTCACCCTCGTGCTGTCGTGCAAGTATCCGGGTAACCTGGAGGGAACCCAGTGCGACGGCCCCAGGGGCCTGCTAGTCCCGTTTCGCTACCATGCCACCGACCCGGGAGGAGCAGCGTGGTGGCCGACAGGGGGCGCAGTGCGGAGAGGAAATGCAGGAAGGGGGCGCCAGGCGACCCGCCGCCCCGCGCCCAGCGGCGGGAAAGGAGCCGGAGTTCGGCAAGG